ACATGGTGAGGGTTTTGATGAGAGAATAGGACCTTCATTAGGTGTTGTATAAGGTTCCAACTGCATCGTTCCTATTGTACTTGGATAAACTTATTTTTTGACAAACTAACTTCTTTGATAGCAATACTCTTCATTTTGTGGTTGCGTCACTTCTTTGGACAATATTGAGTAGTGTGCTTAGGTTCTCTATAATATAAGCACAATCCTTCCTAACAACAATGAATCTTTTCTTGCTAAGAATGAGATTTGAAATGTATGACATTAATTTGTATATCCTTTAATTTCAAATATATGTGTAGAGAAGACATTGCCATTGTCATTGAATTATAATAGAATTGAGGTGCTTTTGTACGATTTTCAAATTAAAATTCAAAAAATTGATTGTCACACCTTACAGCAAAGTCAATTACTTAACTCGATGTTTGAAGATTAGGTAAGTTCAGCATTAATTTTTTTACTTTATATTGTAATCTAAAGAGAAATTGGCTAACAAGTGTGGTATTATCTTACTTGATATCAATTACAAGTTATCAAAATTATGAAGTATATAATATTACTGATAAATTGCTTTGTTATAAAATATGGATCTTATTAGTTGCAACATAAATTGCATCATGTTTTACATACATAGATTGAAATTCCACCAATAAAGCCTCCAAATTATTCAATATTGGATTTCATTGTTCAAAAAAAGATGAAAACTATGATAATGTTGAACTTAAAAGAAGAGTATTAATGAATCTAACTTATGATCCTTTAGTTGGATAGCTTTGAAATTAAAGTTCAATCACAAGTTATATTTGATTGATAAATCCTCAAAACTTAAAACTTGTGCCATCAAACTTTTTAGACAATGTAATCCTTAATTCTCTAATACTGGAAGAATATTCTACCATAGGAGAAGGAATATGATTTCGTACAGATGTTAAAGCAGCTCCAATCATCTCTATATCTTTGTTCTTTGTTATTCTCGTTGCTTCTTGAAGCAATAACTTCAATTGATGCATTATAAGCATTAACTCTCTCAATTGTTCTTGCATTTGTGCCATTGCATTCTTCATTTTGAAAGCTCTACTATGATATATTTCCTTCTTTAAATATAGGTGCTACATAATTAGCTTGTTTTGCAAGCTACCAACACATGTGACATATGGTTAGCTTATTGACCAAGTTTCTAACTTACCAATCAACTACAAACATATTTAAAATCAAAACAACAACTAAAAAGCTTTTAAGAAGCTTTTCTAAAAGGTATTATGAAATTAATCTATTTTTATCTACTTCTACCTATTCATATTACCTAAATAATAATTATAATAGATATATATATATCCATGACATATGCCACTTGACCATGCATTTTAATTGTATATGGTATAAGGTTGTTTACAAAATTATGCATTATGCCTTGAAAGTACCTACAAATGAATTTGAGCAGACACAAAGCATGCCAACACTCACTACACCTTGTTCATGTGTGATTGCATTGTCAATAGATATACCTTGTTTATATATATATATATATGTATTTCTATTAGAAGTTGATAGAAATTGATAGGGCTTTGGAATTTGATAATTTTAATTGCCATTGGTAGCTTAAATCATCAATAGCTACAATTGTATTGCCTACAATGCTAAATATTGAATTGAAACATGTTTGCAAAGTGCATGATTTGCTATGGCCTTATTAGTAGTATAGGCCTATAGATAGGATTATGAGAATTTTAGAAAATATAACTAATCTTGTCCTCAATTCCGTGCCAATTGCAGTCTGTGGTATATCTATAAATACTCATAGGAATCTTTCATTCTTTGAGCATATAATACCAGATCCATGGCAATGTATGTACTACTATAGAACTAGCTATGATTGTTGCAATTTTCCTACTCTTAAGACAAAGCATGGCTCTTAATTGTGATTGCTTACTTATAATTGAATTAATTTATTGATGTTGGGTGCATTTCTATATAGAAAATATTTCAGCTTTGAAATCATGGATGCATAGTTGTAACTATTGTTGCATGAAAAAAAAACACAAAATTATATAAATATTTTTTTACATTTGTTATACAAATTTATAAATTATCTTTTTGTTTGATGAATGAACTCATCAATTGATTTGACATGTAATGACGTATGAAAGAATAAAAATTAATTAATTAATTAATGATGTATTTGTTTATTATAAACAAAAAAGTTGATGAATTGATAAGTTCATTCACAATTCATATTTAAATTTGTTCACATATAACAAAGTATGAAATGAGTTATGAACAAATATTATTAATGAAAATATATGAATTGAAAATAAAAATAATTCACTTAATTATTAAATTTTGGCTTTAAAAACCATATGCATAATATTTTAGCTTTTAATATACCAATGAATTAGGTTAGGTGACCAAATATAGGTGTGTAATACATAAATAAACATACATGTTTATGAAGGACCCCCTACATTTGAATTAGGTTAGATGACTGAATCCAATCATTTTAATAAAAGTCCAAATCAACCTATCAATTTTCATATATATATATATATATATATATATATATATATTATTTTATAATTATATGTAGATTGTTACATTTAATTGGATTTTTTAGTAGAATTTAATTGTGTCTTATTAGTAAACTACAAATCATGTGTTTATAAAAGTTTATTAGCTTATTACATTGAAATATTGAGCTTTATATTTGTATATTCAAATTTTATTCTTAAGTGGAATAAAATAACTTTTTAACAATAAATAGTTTATTAAAATTTTAATTATAATTTATCATAAAAAAAAATATTTATACTTTTATTTCTAGAAATTTTTATATTATACCTATAACTATTCATATGTGGATTTGCATTTTAAAAATTAGATTATTATTTCAAAAATAGTAATATATAGATTTTGAACTATAAAATTAAAGGAATACAATCAATCATGTGGAAGACTTTACAATTGCAAAAAAAAAACTCTAAAATTACAAAATATGTGCTTAACTATAAGATGTGTGTTTACTTCAATAGAGATTAAATTAAGATATTTTTATTATAAATAGTAAATATCTATATTTTATTGGTTTTGAAAAATTCTTATAAATTCATAGATGCAATGAGTTTTTAATATTCATTAATGTATATATAATGTTATAAAATATATCTTAAATCTATTAATTTTTATTCAGGTTAACATGATAATTATGAAATTTTAAATATATATATTTTTGATAAAATAAAAATATATACATGCTTAATTGTTTTTGGTTTTTTTTAAACTGTTACAAAATTTTATTATTCCTTATAGAAATTGATGTAAAAAACACATGTTATAGTAAAATAACAAAATTACAGACATAACTTAAAATATGTTCAATTTATTCATAAACCACTTAAAAACTTTTCATATTGTTTTGAATCCTTGTATAATTTCTGGAAGTTTTTTAAAAGACATATTGCATATTTTTGTGCAATTTCAGTCATCAATTTTCTATATTTAGAATTCATATACTTTTAAGTTATTGTTTTTTATATTAAAAAGTTAACTTTAAAAAATAAGTACCAGTGCTGAAATGATATGGTTATTAAATATATTTTAAAAAGTAAATTACCAGTAGCTTGTGCAATATGTCATTTGAAGGTTGAATAAAACAATATGTAGCTTTCCAACTTGTTTAAACAGAACTAAATTGACACCGTCTTCATTCATATGTATGTGTATATATATATATATATACATGAATCTTGTGGCTTACAATATATTTTTTGTATCTTGACTTTTTTTAGTGACTTATCATATTTTAGTATAATTAGTCTTCGTCAATTATTAAAATTGTAAAATATAAATTTCTGATGAATTAAAGTAATACATTAGGCTGTTTTTACATTTGTGGTGAGACAACCAATCCACTAATACCATCTTGCGAATTTTTAGATACTTTGATTGTAATTTATTATAATGATAAGAAAAACTAATCTCTTTATAACATTCTGTATGAAATACAATGAGATTCTTATTCAATATCACTACAATAATTTTAACACTTATTTTTATTTTTATTTTTTGAAAGATTATTTGATGTTGTGTCAAGATCTTTAACTTTAAAACTCAATTAGTTTTTTTTATAATGTATTAATCAATGTTAGAATCATTTTTATTATTGCGTGCATGTTTTATTAATGCACTCAAATGTTTTACTTGTTTGACTGAAATAAGACATTTAAAAAGTGAGTTCTAAAAGTTTGGTATTTTTCAAGAAACAAATGTGGCAATTTATTATATTTAATTTATTTTCAATAATCCATTTTTAAATATTAAATTCATGTTGTTTAGAATATTTTAAAATATGTTTAGACTATGTAAGGTTTTATACATACATTAAATATTCCAAAATACAAGGAAATTATAAATTAATTATTTTAAAAAATCAAAATTTTAATAAACAGTTAAAACTCATAACACTCAAAATTTGATTTATAAATCAAAATCATATTTGTATCAATTGTATCTTGATTCAGAGGCTATATGCATAATCAGATGATTATTTCACATTGATAGTACACAATGTAAAGCAACCTCAAATTATTGTGCTTTATACATAATCTCATTGATACTAATAGTTATAAATTATACTTTTGATTATATATATGTATATTTATACAGACATTCAAAATTACGGTGTAGATAGAATCTTCTCTTACTTTTTTGAAGGTACTTTGACGTTGGCTGAAATGTGTATATACCATGAGAAGTTTTATTAAATAATAACATATGTCATTTAAGTATATATATTGATCAAGACAGACTTCGAAAAAATGGCTTAAAGTAAAAGTTTCGTACATCATCGTTTATTTTGAGCCTTACTTGGAAGGCACAGTGGTAAGCAACTCCGTGTGGAGACCTGTTTCACCGACAAGTTCTGGAGTTGATATCCGGGGAAGGAGCGGGCAGATGAGAAGGGCCTCAATCGCCGGGTCGTTTGCCTTGGCTTATGAAGGCCGAGCGAGGCCGGGGTCGAGGATGACGAGGTGGCGTCGCAGGGAGGGGAGCACCCATGTGAAGCGTGATCGTGGCTTGTGCCACGATTTCCGCCCTCTAGGGTTGTATTTTACGGAATTAGATTACTTGGACCTCGGGCGTGTTTGCGTTGTGAGCGTTGTGAGCATTGTTGAGAGTTGTTGAGAAGGAGGAAGATGGACGTGACGGACGAGAATAGAGCAAGGTAGGGGCTGATTTCGATATAGGGGGAAAGGGAGTTCGATGGAGGTGGTGATGAAGGCGCTGCTGCTGCGATCGGGGGAGATTTTTTTGGAATTGAGATAGAGTAGATAAGGTTGGCTGGTGGAGAATGTGGAAGTTATTAGAGCTGATATGGTCAGGCTCCGAGAATGTGGCGTGTTGTCTCGCGGGGTGCTTCGGGTCCAAGAGCGCGAGCCACCCGTATGACGACCATTGGGATGATCCCGCAGCGATCTCGCGCACCACGGCGTTTACTGTGAGCGAGGTGGAAGCTCTGTACGAGCTCTTCAAGAAGATCTCCAGCGTTGGAGTGTATGATGGCGTGGTGAACAAGGAAGAGTTCCAGTTGGCGCTCTTCAAGCAGAATAAGAAGGAGAGTTTGTTCGCGGATAGGGTTTTTAATCTGTTCGATGAGAAGCACAAGGGATATCTTGAGTTTCCTGAGTTTGCCCAGGCGCTGTCGGTTTTTCATCCGAATGCCAATGTTGAGGACAAGATCGATTTCGCTTTCCGGTTGTATGACCTGCAACAGCAAGGGTACATCGAGCGTTCCGAGGTGAAGCGGATGGTGGTTGCGACTCTGGCGGAGTCAGGGTTGAATCTATCGGACGACGTCATCGAGGAGATTATCGATAAGACTTTTTTAGAAGCTGATACGAAGAATGATGGCCGAATTGATAAAGAGGAGTGGCGGACTTTGGTTATGCAACATCCCTCCCTTCTGAAAAACATGACCCTGCCCTACCTGAAGGACATCACCACGACTTTCCCGAGCTTCATCTTTCATTCCTTAGTAGAAGAAACTTGAAAGAGGTTGTTGATGGTAATATCTGTGATGATATTGATGTACCCCAAAATAGTAGAATGTTTTGAAAGCATTCAATTGGCTGCAGGACGTTTGTGCTCTAAGCCGGCTCGTATGGCTTCAACACAATTTATGTTATGTGGATTGCTCAGCACTCTAGGATGCTAAATATGGTTTCTGTGCAGCTGGTATTTTTTAGACGAGAGTACTGCGCCCGCCATAATTTTTATTTGGCAACGTGTCTCTTGAAATGTAATAGTATCTAATCGAACTTTGGAGGAGCTTGTTTGTAGTTGTAACTAGTCTGGATGGCTTTTATGATCGGAGCGTTGCATCATGCTGATCGATCTCTCCATGATCCTCTACTTGCAGCTAGACGCTCATTTCTAATACAGGTCAAGTTCGCTGCGTTAAAGATAGTAGTGTTACATGTGGCTACTTCTCGTCTGCATCTCTTTGATTGACTCATTTTGTTTATGACAAGTTTGTCAGGACTTGATTTCGAATTCTCCTTCAGCAATGTGGCGTCAGGCTTGAACTGATGCGTGAGATATAATTTTGGAATCTCCATGATGAGCGTCAGCGAGAGGTCTCGAAGTATTCAAGCTCGGTCACATGAAATTATGCAACACAGCACCGGGTTTGAGCATGGTATGCTTGAACTCCTAAATCCTAACCAAGAATTCGGATTCCATGGTACTTCCCATCATTTGTACCTTCCGTTTTTCATCCATCTTTTGTTCATTCAAGAAGAGTACTGATACTAGCAGGATACGTGTGTTTACCGCGTGGCCTTTGGCCGTATAGTTACGAGAGTGACTATAATACTGTACATGCAGGGTTGAGTGGGTCAATAATTGAGCTTCACATCTGGAATGATTGGTTCTCAGTTAACTCTTGCTACCGTGTGAGAGCTTAAGTAATCCTCTGGCATGGCCTGTCACGATCCCTCATCAGCTTGTGATAATTCGTACACATGGAGGGTGAGTTCGTACATTTTTTTTCATAAGACACAGTACATGATGTTTTTGGTCCAAGGTGTGAATATATTGGACAAATGTTAGGTGAGACACTCTGAGGTTGGTTTGTCTATTTTTCCTGTATGATTGTTTATTTTCAAATTAAGGATGGGTTTTGGGACGAGATGACAGTACGTTTGTAATGTTCTTTTCAAAACGTGTCTTCTGGACACCTGGACAAGTTTATGTATTACTTTCAAATAGAATCCCCAGCATGTTTAATTTGAGAGCCTTTTTATAAAAAAAAGTACGACCAAAGAAATGGCCATGTCATTTTAGTCATCCTTAATAAAATTCGCCATGACTTCGTAAGCATGTGTGGACATCCACTAAGCTTCTTTTCCTATTTCATGTAGGACAAGTTATAAACCTCGCTGTCTGCAGACTTATGCTTACCGTATTAGAGAATTTATAGAAACGAAATGAAATTACTGCCAACGGGAGCTGCATTCATTCATTATTGGAGTTGGGTCATGCGGCACAACTACAAGGTGGTGTTTGTGGACAATTAGCGTATGACAGAAGTGAAGACTTGACAGTTGCGTTGGGGGCTTTTGAATAGCATAAAAGTATTTTACATCGAAGATTTCAACTTCTTAGCAGTCACATGAGGAAAGATACTGAAGTTTTTGGACACATCGTCATGTCCAAACATTGTGAACATGCTTCAGGCCTTTCATTGTGCTATCATGAGGTTTCTGTACTTTTGGCTAAAAGGAAAGACTCGAAATACCTTAAATGCGTGTTGCAGATCATTCGTATAAACATCATAATATGGCCTGTCCTAACATGATAAAACAGACCATTGCTTCAGGATAAGAAGCTATGCACCCTGCAGAGTAGCCACCCTCCAATTTCACATTGAACAAAATCACACGCCAAACGGAGTGAAACCCTAGGCAGTTAATGTGTCTCCTTGAAAGAGGGATGCTAATTTTAGAGCTTAGGCACAAGCTCTTAAGTTCCAAACGAGAATGGGGTGCAACGTAGAGGATCTTGAGTAAACTGTATTCTGCTGTAGCTTGTTTATTTTGCAAGTGCTGACAAGTTAAAATAAGCTCCCGATTTCTCTACTCGTTTCTTCTCATGTTTGTCCTTCTCAATTCCAGATGAATTCCGTCAGTATTTCAAATTGCACAATGCGTAGTCCAAAATCATAGCTGCGGTGAGAGTCAAACCGCTTACAATCTCAGTGCATTCTAAGTTTCAATTCGTCATGATGAACGATGAAGCGCTGCTTCGAAATGATAACAGACCACCAGGTCTTGGAATGTTCAATGATTTGAACACAATTTTTTTCAGCGCTCACTCATAAAATAACATTCGCATGTCGACTGTGCAAAGATTGCGTGGGAATATTAACAACTACTTTTAATGTGTAGATGGTCGAACATTAACATAACCAAGCCTGCAGACCAGCCATGCACTATGCAGATCCTACTTTCTAGCCTCTACATAGCAAGTCAACCAAAGTTCTCTTGCTGCACCTGCTTCGTTACCTTCGCTGCGCTGCAAATGCGGAGCCAAGGTCATGTTCCTAACGACAGAGGACTAAGACAGACTACTGTAAACATTGTACATTCTCTAATCTACTGGATTGAGCACAGCAGTAGTCAAGCTCCAATTTTGCGTTCCACTTGGATAGCTCATTATACACAGCAAGCTAGCAGCAGTCAAGCTCCAATTTCAAAATGGAGATTTAGCATTTACGTCCATGAAATCATTGTAAGCCTCGAACTGTGGGAGTTGGGTGCAGTAGGAAGCATGTTCAGCAGTAAATTGGTATTTATCTAAACAGCAAGCTTGTAAGAATGGCCAAACTTGCACCTATTGAGATGTTAAATATATTCGAGACATCATTTGTAATCTGCACCACCACCAGCCCGTATCGCCAAAATGCACAAAATCAGATAAAGACAATCGACAACAGACAGAACCAAAGAGAAGTATTCTTTGCTTGCAAGAGTCCATGCAAAGGTAAGAAAAGAAACACATTCCGATGCTACTACGAGGTACAATCTCAACAAATGAGTCCCACTATTCACCGGAAACGAGCACTTAATAGACAAAATCATACCCATTCAGTGCCTTTTTGACCTTGAAGCGCTGCTCCAATGAAGCTCTCACACAGATTAGCCACTTGAGCAGCTCCCACACAAATAATAGCTCCCGGCAGATCAGCCTGCAATCATGAATTGTACTAGTTTTTCAAACTGGAGGAATTTTGCGAGAGGTAGAAATCACAACGGATTCATGACGTACGGACAAAATTTGACATCTGAGAAAAACTTGTCAAATATTCCACTACACACCAACAACTGGAGCAAATGAGCTTAGAGTAATACCAAGGCAACGACATAACCGATGAAAGCCAGAAAAACAGATGCGATCAATCCTGCAAAAGTGCCGACCAAGCTCACTGCTCCATCTGTGCCGCGAGGTACAACTGTCATGGTTGTCACCAAGTATCTGCTCACCAATAGCAAACAAATAACATCAATCACAGTGCTCATTGTAAATGATTCATTGCTAATAAATCGTCAGCATATTAGAACCTTCGAAATTGTCACTTCAAAGCATTTACAGAGAGCATGTGAACAAACTAACGTGGTTCTACCAAAAGCCTTGCCAATCTCGCTCCCCATCGTGTCGCTAAGTTTAGTGCAAAAGCTGGCCAGGAAACCTAATCGCCAAAGGGGCACCCATGCAGGTCCAAAGACGCCACAGATTGTTGCAATCGCACACAATGTGCCGGCTGTGCCAGATCCCCACACACTCCCAGGACCCCTTCTTCCTCCCCTCTTCTCTGCCGTCCCTTCGGCTTTCTTCAGTTTATAGTTCACTTTCGTGGCAGCGGTTCCCTGGATCCATCCAAAGACTCTTTCTCGTTTAACCACAATCCATCAAGAGCAATATGTAGATGTAAAGCCATATCCAACTATTCTCGAACACCCACAAATTTTCAGCAACCCAATCGAATCTTACGCAGTTGAAGCAGCCACTTTTAGGTGAAAGTGCAGAAGACCCACGCAGTCAAAGGAGGGCTCCGATTGCTTACAATAAGAAAGTAGAGAAAGACGATAACGGTGCCGGGCAAGCCGAAGGCACGAAAGGTGAAGAGGCCCAGCAAGAACGCACTCATCACTCCAGGGATCGACAATCCGACCAACAAAACAGGTGCCGCGATCACAAAAATGGTGGTAGTAGCAATGATAGTCGACTCCCAACTCGCTGGCGACCTCAATGCTCGTTGCACTCCTTGCAAAACGGCCCTGAAACTCTCCGAAACATCCAGAGTGGCCATGGCATCCTCTATGCTCGCAGAATTTCCTCCGTGCCCACAAAAGCAAAACAACACCACCACCACCACCACCACCAAGATCAAGCCTCCCAACAGGTTTCTCAGATCGGTTTTGTTCGATTTCTTTCGCCAGCAAGTGACGCAGAACTGGACCCCATCAAACTGTGGATCGTTTCTACGAATTGTGTGACTGATTGCTCCGTTTCGGGAACGATCCGTGCATCAGACTTTGCAAGCACGCTAGAGTTCGATGCAGAGTCCTCTTCACTGGATTGCCCCAAGACTGCGTTATGCTGCGGCAGGCTCGCGGCAAGTCGCGGTTGCTGAGCTGGAATACCGTGTGCTTACAACGCGCTTTTAGGTGGGTCGGTGATAGGGTTTGGAAAGAGAAACAATCAGCGTGTGAGATTGTTAGGATCACCAAGAATTAACCCCTAGACCGGGCAATTGGGGAGACGAGTATACTTGATCAATGTTTATTTAAATGAGAAGTTCTTGTACTATGTAAATAAACAAATAAATAAAGTGCATTCTAAATGCAATAGCTTAAAGTACAAGATTAGCAAAATTTAGTTAAGATAAGGCAGTCCAAAAGAAATCCAAGTGAGAAAGTACTTTGTGTGAAAATTTGAATTCACAAAACAATTTGTCTGGTTATACAGTAACTACAAATGCACATGAGATCTACTACTTGTAGAGCATTTCTTTAGCAATTTTTATGTGGAAATATATATATATATATATATATATATGTATATATATATGAATATATATCAATCAATTAGTGAAAATCCATGTTGTTGGCTACAAAAAAAGGTATAAAAGTTTAATTTGTGGTTGCTAAATCAAAAATTGACCACTTCTAAAGAAATATTGATCATGATCTATATATATATATATATATATATATATAAAAATAGATCCATTCATATTTCTTTACTATAATTGATAAATATAATTTTTATTTATTATAAAAATAAAATAGCTAAGTTAAAAGAAATTTTGGATAAATTATATTTATGATGGCATTTTTATCTTCATTATTTTTAAGATGTAGAATCTTAATCATATCCAAAGAAGTGCATTGTAAAAAAATAATATAAAACTATTTATGTGTAAATACTAAGGTTCTAAGATCTATTCCTATATTTTTCAATAATTATTATTAAAATTTATCAATATTCATTACAAATTCCATCTTTATTAGAAACTAGCTTTACTATAATTTGAATAGAATCTCTATAGATGTGTTACAAATATACATATTTGTCAAGGACAAGAACATGATAAAGACAAATAAATAAGTGAGACTTCTCTCAAAAAAAGATGACAAAATAGAAATAACTTGATATGTATATTAAGAAAGAAACTGGAATGGCTATTACCAAAAGTCAAGAAAATTAGAGACCCTTGAAACTAGACTAGAAGCAAAAAAGGAGTTGACAAGAGTGAAGAAGGCTTCACTCTTGTCTTTATATATACTATCTTACTAAAGGCTACGTGGCGACGTTCTACATGACCTCCAATATGTGTTGACTTTATAGGACACATGCCTTGACTTACGAGGCATGTTTTCTACATGTGGGCCACATAGTTAGCTTAGTCTTCAAGCTAAAAATATGTGTGGCACATGGCCAACTTGTTGACAACGTTTCTAATCCCAAAAATTCAATTAAAGACACCTATAAAGTCAAAGAAACATCTATAAAGCTTTTAAGAAGCTTCCATAGCAAATATTAAAGAATTAACTTATTTCTACCTATTTATACATATAATTATTGGCTTACATGCGTATGTCCGTGACATTACTCCCTTTTCTAGAGACGAGTTCTATGAGTAGCGATAATCATATGTTGAGGAAATCTATGATGCAACGAAATATATTTGCTACATCTTCTGATCTTTATTCTCTTCGAAGATGATTGATAGGGCCTCTCAACCATCGATAGTGTCCCATACCAAGGCAAGAAGACCATCCAATTATTTGATTATTGTTGAGGCCTTCATAACTTCTTTCGAATAAAACATTTAGAACACCATCAGGAGTTGTTCCTACTTCTAGTAAAATCACCAAACATTGGGAGTCCCTTCCAAGGTCGTGATACCAAACGCATTGTAGTGTTGTGGTCAGCTACTATATGAAAATAATGTAATTATGTACTTAATATATAATTTATTAAGTAACATGGTGAGAGCCATGTTAGTAGATTTTAGTTGGTTGTAGAATATAATTTGAGTATTACTTTGAGAAGAGGTTGTTTAAAAAGATTACTATAAAATTTGTATAACTTTAATTTCCTTTTGATAGTGGGTTTTAAGATTGATTTTGATTGATAGTAACTTCTAAATATTTAGAGTCACCTTTGTTAGACATTGGTGACATTTGAAAACTTATTTTGGTTCTTTTATTTGGTGTTTAGAGCATACATTATGTAAATCTTATAAGAAAAAGGATTGAAGAAGGATTTTGGTAGCAAAGGGAGTAATTAGGACACCAATATTGATGAATGGAGATGAAAAATAAAAATCTCCATTCCTATTGGTCAAAAATCATGACCAATGGGCTTTGAGGAGGCTGCCCGAGGCCATATTAGGGATTAGGGTTAGTTTTTCATGGCATTCGAACTTTGAAGGCTAAGGTCAGAAGGTTTAGGTTTTTGGTTAAGGTTTTGGTGCAAGTTTTGTGTCATTTGGGGTTTTTATGAAGAAGTTATAGGCACTCAAAGTTAAGATGTTAGTTTTGGACCTACTATCACTTTTTTGGGCATAACGCACGTGTACGGATGGCAATTGAGGATCGGCGACTGCGACTAGAGAGAACACTTTTGCGGCTATACTTTTCACATACTGCTTACTGGATTCTAGGTTGGGATGAAGGAGTTATTGGATTTTGAAGTCAGCACATGCAATCTAAGGGTAGTAAGTAAACCGATTTACTAGTGTTTGTCTCTTGAGCTATATCTTGAGCAATTTGACAAGGTTTTGGCTCAAAATTTCAAGGAATGTGTAATTTTATGTTAGTAAACTTTGTGCATAAGTTTTATGACATTTCAAGTTTGGGTTTTTGAGATATAAGGAAAATATTTTTTCAGGTGCTTGTAAATTAGGGTTTGAAGTGTGTACTAGGGTTTCTTAGATGCCAAAAGATCGGGAGTGAATTTGTAGATGGTTTTTCTTATGGTAAAATTTAAGGATAAATTAAACCTATCTTGTGAATTTAAAACAAACTGAACTGTTAGATCAATAGTTATGATTTTCTAAAGTTTGGGGCGAGAAAACCCTTGGCGAAAAAAATATGTTTTGAAGGGATTTTATTATATTTGGAGTTTTATACAAAAATAAAGGAGATTTGGAAGCTAAGAAAAGAATCATATAAAGGTTTAAGGTACACTCTCTACAATTAGATACCAAGTGTATTCCCAGATAGCAAATCACGCCATACGACAGACGTGGTGAACCCGACGTGAAAAATTCTGCGGTAGAGAGTTTTGAAGAAATATTTTGGCTTTTATTATGGAAGGAGAGCAAGGAAGTGGTAGTAGGAATTGCATTGGGTAATCTCCATTGCAACTTGATCCTGCTACAACTCAAATGTTTCAAGCATTTACACTTTTTATGCAACAACAGCAAGCTGTGGAATGCAAGGAGGTGTTAGGCACATATTCCTTAGAACTTTCTAGAAGAGAAGCCTCTAGAATCTTTTAGAGAGAAGTTTCTAGAAGCTTCTAGAAAGGAAGTCTCTGGAACCTTATAGAAGAGAAGTTTCTAGAAGCTTCTAGAAAAGAAGCCCTTGGAACTTTCTAGAAGCTTCCTAGTTAATAGAAGTAGCTCGAGAAGTTTCTAGAACCTTCTAGAAAGGAAGCCTCTGGAACCTTCTAGAAGCTTCTTAATTAATAGAAGTAGCTCGAGAAGCTTCCTAAATAGGAGTATATATAGGGATCCAGGCTGAAGAGTTCTTCAGTCTCGACAACACATCTCTTGGAGTTCTAGCTCACCTTTCTGGTGTTGTTCTTGTACTCATCTGTTTAATTTAGTTCTGCCACTTCTTCTTGGACTTCTTGTTAGATTTCAAGTCTGTATTTTGTGTCCGTGACAGTTTGTCGAGACTACACTAACTTGAGATATCAGAGCTAGTTCTTTCTTAGTGGAGTGTGGATTACTCCTCTACTTGAAGGTATACTAGCATTTTAGAGATTGCGGATTACCCTCCTCTAAACTGATACTTCTTCTGTTACAATATTGGAGTCTTATTCTTCTTGGAGAGAGTGGATTATCCCTCTTCTTGAAATTTTTAAGGCGTTTTATAGGTTGTGGATTACCCTCCTATAAACCAATATTGCCTCTTGTAGAGTCATTTTTGTCCTTCTTTTAGAATGGTTGGAGGTCAAGACATTAGTATGACAGAAAGTTTGGAGTCCAAGTTAGATGCTATTATGAATGCCCTCGCTACGTTATCACAAAGAACTGCAGAGATTGAAGGAGTGGTGGCAAGGCTTCATAATGATGGAGTATCTGGGATAGCACAATCTAAACTGCACCAGCCTCAAACTTTTGCACTTGGAGAAACAACTTTATCTCAGGTTCGACAAGAACCACTAGTTCTACAACATAAGGAGCCTCGAGTTAGCCTTCTAGATAAGTTCGATGGAACACGTTCTAAGTTTCAAAGATTTGTTAATCAAATTAGGTTGATAACAGTTTTACAGCCCGAACGATATCCAACAGAGGAGTCACGTGTTGGGCTTGTTGGAACCTTACTTACGGGACAAGCCCTATCATGGTTTGCTCCTTTGTTTGAGAAACGATCATCCATATTAAACAACTTCGAAACCTTTTTGGAAGCATTTGCGGAAGCATTTGGTGAACACGATAAGGTTCGATGGGCTACAACAAAGATCCGGTTGCTACGACAAGGGATGCGTTCTACATCAGTCTATGCTTTGGATTTCAGGCAATTAGTATGCGACATCAATTGGGATGAAGAAGCATTGATGAGTCAATTCTATTGGGGTTTAAGAGATGATGTGAAAGATTTGCTGTTAACTCTTCCTGATCCACGAACGCTCAATGAAGCCATTAGCCAAGCTGTGAAGTGCGATAATCACCTATTCCAACGTCGCCAAGACCAACGCTCAAGACAACATACAATTCGCCATGCTCCAACTATGTCGGCAAGCAGTGTGAATTCACATTCAGAGGTGGAAGACATGCAAATTGATGTGGTACGTGTCAAATCTCTTACTATAGAAGAAAAAAAGCGAC